ACACACACACACACACACACACACACACACACACACACACACACACACACACAGTACAAAACACAACAAGAATCAAGTCGGTCATAATCTCACAAACACATAGGTCATGTCTTGAGTTGCAGAGGCTGATCCACGGGTGAACTGCTGACTGCTTGTTTACGGTCAAAACTTGTTTGGATTTTTAGAGGCGAATGTTCATTTGCTTATGTATTCAGCTGTAATTCAGGTCCTGTGATGCCTCAATGACCTCAGGTAGTGTGTGAAGCTGATGACTAACCAGAAATGACTGTTTGAGGCACAATGCATTCTCTCTCCCTCCTTTCCCTCTCTCTCTTTCTCTCTCTCTGCCTGAACTGCCCCAGAGCCATAAGACAATTGACAGGCTGCTAAGAGCAGGGAAAGTCCCACTGGAGTCTCTTGGCAGAGGGACAGGAAAGCAGCTCACAATCGAATAAGAGTGAGGCGACTTAATGGACTAAAATGTGCTGACTGAGTTAGCAGTGACTCACTTGCACACTACTCTTTATTATGTGCACTAAATTCCTTCATTCAGGAGGGCACTTTATAGAGGGTGTGATGTCATCATCTGTTTAACTGTGATGAGACACAAATCTCTGAAATACCAAACTAGCTAAAAAGTACTATGGTACATATTATATGGACATTTATTATTAAAATGCAAAATAATTTAATAACTCAATAAAGTACTCAATAAATATTTTTGATTATTATTAATTTGTGGGTAACTATGGCGTACCTCTTTTCCACAGTCACCCTGTGGTAATAATGATTTATTTAACCTGTGGCATAAGGAAAATTAGTAAAAAAAATAAAAAAATAAATTCTATTCCATAGTTAATAAAGGTGCGACAATAATATGATCATGTATTATAGTCAGATACAGAGGTCTGGTAGTCAGGTTACATAAATAGTGAGTTATCAACATTCACTCTTGGTACACTTCAAATGGCAAGTACAAGGGATTGTAACATAGTGCAACTAATTTTAATAAGCATTCCCATCTGTTGTATGTTATGTGCTGTTCCTCTCAGGAGATTGTACTGGAGCTGCAACCATTAATGGCTGTCTTACAGCCGAGGGACAGATCAGGAATAACAGCTCCCTCATCTCTTTCTGCTACACTTTAATTAAACTAGGGGAATAAAGATAGGCTACGACATATGTTCAACTGAGCTTTCTGCTGAAACAAAGAACATGCATGTACATGCAAGTGTAAATGTGAGCATGTGTACGCCTTCAGTCATTTTTATAGAACTGCAAGAGCATATATATACTGTATATAAACATATGTTTCACGGTTTTCACAAAAATTTGAGCTCCACAACCATTTGCAACATTTGATAATATCTCATGCAACACTAAAAACTGGATTTATGGCTGCTGAAAATTCAGTTTTGCCATCACAGTAATAAATTACATTTTAAAATATATTAAAATAGAAAACAGTTGTTTTAATGTGTAGTATTATTTCACAATGTTACTGTTTTACTGCATTTTTGATGTAGGCTTGGTGAGTATAAGAGACTTCAAAAACATATTTCTGAAACTTTTGAATGGAAGTGTGTCTTGACGACTTTTCATGAATGTGGATTTCAGTTCACAACAAGTTATTTACAGTACCTGAAGTGGTTGTTTTTAAAGATGGCCTCGCTGTAGGCCAGAGCCAGAAGTCTGGGGCTTGTCTGAGCTGCTCCACCACTTTGGGCCACCTTACTTAGGTGTCGGGTCAGATGAACCAGGAGCTGGTGGTTAGCCTGAGGGACACTAGGAGAGTCAAGGATTCTTTTCAGCTGTTGTCCGCATTCCTCCATGTTTTGGGTTTCTAAAAGAGAGAGAGGGACTATGTTATAAAGGACATTCAAATTGAGCTGATGGCACCACAAAAACACACACAGCTTTGACTATCCTGATCTATGATGGGAAATGGAAGCAGACAGAGAATAATTTACGTAATTTTTGTAGTTTAAACGATTAATCTAAATAGAATACACTGATAATATTGAATAGTTGTCAATGGATAAGATGCATTTAGCAGCCAGATGATGCAGTACCGACATCTACCAGCAGGGACTAACAAGCTAAACATCCATCCTGTGGTTTTAATAATATAGGTGTAACTCATCTGAACTCAGACAGCAGCATTGAACATTGGGGCACATTACAAAACCCATGACCTGGGACTGAAAAGTCAGCTCAGCAGGAGTTAAAGTGCTAGCCTAACATTGCCCTCGAGTCCATTGTCTATGAGCACCCACAAGGACAATGCAGTTATTGCGATAGCTTCCAACATACTGATGAGCTCCTTTGAGATGAGGTTTCCCACAGCAAAAAGGCCAGCATCTGTGATTCAGGCTTATTTTGAGCTAAAGTGTGCCCTGGTGACACAGCTAAGAAATTAGCATTTCATCCCTAAGTCCCTTACACACAATGAATATTTGTCTTCATCAGCCAAAGGAACACAGATACAGTCCGGATATCAATGCGAGATATCATCCAGTCTGGAAAGTACAGAACAAGTGGGAATTCTTTAAGAATGAAATGCTGATACCGCTGTTTATTCACAATGTATGCCTGATAATAACTCTAGTCACCATCATTTGATGAATAACTGCCACCATAATTGATAAAAAAAAGTACACAAACATTTCTTTTAAACAAAATTTTCTATATGCTTTTCCACATGCAACCTTCAAGGACTTCAAAAATGAAGGAATTTAATTCATAGACGACATACGAGTAAGCCAAATGTAGACATTATTATATTATATTATATTATTCATGTTAGATTACTGCCTAAATGCTGCTCTCACACCCCCCAACAAACACACAGACTCAATCCCCTGCCAACCGCACTTCCTGCATGAATTATGATATGAACAAAGCCATTAAGGTGTGGTTAAGGCGCTTCTCCCATAGTGCTTATAGAAGATAAGTGCTAAGAGGTCAAAGGTTATGAGCAGTGGGTGGCAGGGTGTCGAATGATGAATGTCTGACAATCTGCCGATCAGAAAATGGGTCAGTACTTTGACCTTGGCCTGAGACTCACTGACCATTGATATAAGAGGGTTTCTATCTCTACAAGTTCTATGCATACACTCAGTAATACATGCACAGACACACACCCATGCCCCCAGTCTGGAGCCGGACAGTCCCACCAACCGCTGCCTCCTGGAGATTACCGATAGAGACTGACCCCTGTTCAATAAAGGCCAGCGTCATGGGCTGCAGGCCATGGCTGGGAACTTGGCCGAGTCCATCTGGACTCAGCACGACACAACCGGGGGAAGGGGAGCCCTGCAGACGGCCAATCGCATTCCTGGAAGAGGGCATACTGGCTCCTGGCCAGCCAGATGGGCACCGGTGCTCAAGGCATGAGAGTTACCACTGAATAATGCTCTTAAAATGACACTTAGACGCTCAATGGGATTCAACTTCTACCAGAAAAAGGACTTAATGCACTTTTCTTCTACTTAATAGAACTGTTATGCGTTCGGAAGCAAAAATTATTTGTCAAGTTGATTTGTGTTAGATTAAAGCTTGAAATGAATTCGATTTTTCTAACCTGCATCATAATACTCCTCATGCATCTTAAAACTCCTGGAGTTTTGGATAACATAATATATAAAAACATGATCTAATAGTTTGAATCGGTGTGTTGATTAAATTAAGGATATCAAACAAAAGCATGCTTGATTTCACAGTTAAATGGATTTTATCCAGGCAAGAGGGAGGCAGAGTTTGGCATTGTTAAGGGCACCCCATGACAAAGGGACTTTCCAGGAAAGCTTATTTGCCATAATAGCCCATTGATTATTTAGAATGGTTAATGAACAAATGCTGAATATGCCATATGGCAAATATAGTGACTTTGCACTTGAAGACTCGTTGGCACAATACAAAATGTATTGTAACCCCAAGTACATTATAGTGAGTCATTGCCTTGATTTCTGTTCACTGCATCACAAAACTAATATTAGTTCCATTCTTTGAAGATGCAATATTAATTTAAGTAACTTACATATCAGCGCCAGCAGAACTAAAGACGACAAATTAAATTATTAGGTATAAGACAATCAATCAAGTATATTCCTATTGCATGATCTCAATGAAACGAATTAAACTGCAATTAGACTTACCACTCTATGGGACCAATCATCCAAATCAATAAGGACAATGAATGAATACATAACAGATTGAAGGTATGAACAAATATGTTTAGTCAAAAAGAAGATCACTCCTTGAAATCCTAAAATTCAAGTAAGTAAATAAATAAATATATAAAGGCAGCGGCTATTTGCACTAAGTGTAAATAGCGATAGAGGCTATTTACACTAAGTGCAAATTGCAATAGATGTTATTTACACTAAGTGCAAATAGCAGCATTTTTTTGTGATATGCTATGCATAACAGTGGAAACTAATCCCGTATTTTCTAATAATATTACCAAGGGGCAACATGTATATTGAAAATAGCAGAGGACCTAGGACAGATCCTTGTGGTACTCCATATTTAGCTGAGATTTGAAAATTATATATATTACATAGAAGGCTCATGCCTAAAACAATCTGGAATGGAAAATACATTTATTTTAAGAAATATTCTCAGAAAACAGCACCTTTTTTGCATCTTAAGAAAAGTTTAGATATTTTTAAGAGGAAAATTAGCATTTTGCATTGTTTATCCTTAAATACTATTCAACCACTATATTTAAGGATACAAGCTGTCTCAAGGCCGCAATAATTTTCAGGCATCAGAAACATGATGCGGCAATACTCAGTGAGGGTGCTTAAATAATTCTGTTTGTCCTTACAAAGTCAGGCAACACTTACAAGCAACCAGGCATGTCTAAAAGATGGGACAGACTCTGTGTATGCTTGCTTCATTTTCAGTGGGTGTAATGCAGAGCAAGGTCAGAGAGAGATGGTGTGAACCTACCCTCCGGCATAGTAGCGCCCCCACTAATACATACACATACACACACACTCTGCCTCTTTCTATAACACTACTTTCGTTCTCAGCCTTTCTCAAGCCTCTTCTGCCAACTGAACATTTTGAGCATTAATATGTCGAAGAGAACAAACATACTCACCTATTTTAGCTGTGCATTTTATGCTAGGAGAATGACATCATTTACTCGCTCGAATGTAGTTTCAAGCCTTAATGACTTGTTTGAAGAGTTGTACTGGATGATAATAATAAAGAATGGAGACTGAGGCTTTCAAGCTCCAAAAATGATTTAAAAAGCTTCAAAAAGCATAATAAAAGTGATACTTTTCTCTATTTCAAAATTTACTTCCATCATAGACTTTTACAAAGTTAGAGTTCATTAGAGATACAGTTCAGCACTGACTAATTTAGAAACAAACCCACTGAACACTGATCCATTTCTCGAGATATTATCAGTGAATCTCGACTTCCTCACTTAAAGCAATTGCACGATGAAATATACCGTAAAATGGTGGTCTTTAAATGTTTTGTGCTGGGCTCCAGCGGACAGCTTACCCTGAGCAGTGTAGACCAGCTCGCTGTACACTACAGCTGGTATGAGCAGGCAGGGCAAGTCCTGAATGTAACTCTTAAGTGTATCAGCCAATGTGGACAATTCATATTGCTCAAAGTCCACTACTGCTGGGTCTGAGGGAGAGAGAGAAAGAGAGAAAGAAAGCAAGAGAGAGAAAGAAAGAGAGAGAGAGAAAGAAAGAGAGAGAGAGAAAGAGAGAGTATGGTTAATTATAGGCACCCAGAGTACTTTCTCCATTATTTACCCTTCCAAACCACGTGCCCTTGGCGAAACCCTATAACAATTCACTTACAGTGGTGGTCAGATCCCCTGACCATTCCTGCACCCTCTGGGGACAATGATCCAGTCACAAGCTTAACAAAGACAGTAAATTTGAGTGGAAGTCTCCCAGTCAATAACTCAAAGCCTCAGATAATGGCAGCTTGGAAGACTGCAATTATACAGTTGTAATTTTAAAAGGCCCTTCATTGTGCTAAAATTATAATGGCATATTGATGTATTGAAAAGGTGTAAAAGGCGCTGACAGAGCTCTCACATATTTCAGATCAGAGCTTTTTCATTTATTGTTTGGGTATAATTGCAGATTTATAAATACATTCTTACTCCAAAAACAACCACAAGTATTGCAGTTTATCACCTAAACAGGACATAATGTTCTAATATTATTACTATATAAAAAAACATTAAACAAAATAAGAAATATCACTACTGTAATAACACTGTTTCAATTTAATAATACATTTAATAATAGAACTCATGACGTTCCAGGAAATCCCTTATATGGACAAAGGCATCCAGCTGTCGCTGTAGCCGAGTAAAATACAGATAGAGAAGTTTTACCTGATGAAACATCAATACAATAAACATACGATTGTGACAAAATTTGGTTTATCTCTGTTCTTCAAGTCATCTCGGGTATTTTTAAAAGAATAAAGTATTTATAATGCAATTTTAATCGACTTAGCCTTCTATCACTGTATAGAATCAAAGACCATAGAATACTTAACGGGACTTAGAATACTATAAAAGTATGATTTCTGCCTCATTCTCTGATATGAAACCACAGCAGATCACAAAAGGAAGTTATTTTAAAGGGGTCATATGATGTTGCTAAAAAGAACATTATTTTGTGTATTTGGTGTAATGAAATGTGTTTATGCGGTTTAAGCATCGCGCCTCGTAAACATAAAACCATGTCTGCATTTGTGATCGGAGAAATGACAAACAACAAGCGCTGTTCTACACTGCTCAAAACTCGCGTTTGAGTCGTCAGTGGCAAATTCTTTAAATATACAAAACTTACTTACAGTCTGTGAGTCAGAACAGCCGGCATTGTAGTCTACTCTACCAGGATCAGTAAACAGTCCTCCATAAATGCCCTGGACACATCTGAATATTTGGGTTGAACTGTTCTGGAACAGTGTTGTAAATACAACTTAACCACTGATTTCTAGTCGTGTCCCTTTTTTGGAAGGCCAACAAAGTAGTTTCGTAGTTTTTGTAAACAGGCTCTCACACATCGCAAAACTGTATCGCATGCGTGCTACTAAATTTATTCATTACACAGACATCTGCTACAGCCAACATTTTCCATCTTCAAAACGATCAGGGCCTTTTGACAAAACATTAACAGATTAGCAATGGAGATTAATAATGGAGTTGCCCAGTTGTACACCAACAGGAAAGCTCTGAAACAGAAAGAGGTCACGTGTCATTTGAAAACCTGAGGAGGTGCTTGAAGCCATTCACCTCTCTTCACCTCTTTAATTCTTCACTGCTTTCCAACATCCTATGCCATTTCAGTATCAGAAAAGTGACAGACCTCCATGGCTAAATTGCAATTGCATTGATCGTCCCTCTGACTAATTGTAAAATAGTTTCAGGTTCAAGTGAAATCAAAAACCCATTAAGCTTTGCTGATGACCACCTTTCTTCTCCAAATGTGATTAGTTTGTTGACTTGCCGGTACGCTCTTAAAAATAAAGGTGCTTCAAAAGGTTCTTCACAGAGATGCCATAGAAGAACCATTTTTGGTTCCACAAAGAACCATTCACTCAAAGGTTCTTTAAAGAACCATCTCTTTCTTACCTTTTTATAATCTGAAGAACCTTTTTTCACCACAAAGAACCTTTTGTGAAACAGAAAGGTTCTTCAGATGTTAAAGGTTCTTTATGGAACCATTTAGACAAAAAGGTTCTTCTATGGCATCGTGAAGCACCTTTATTTTTAAGAGTGTATGCCTGCTTCCAATGCAAAGCTTCAAGATATTCTGGGTATTCCAGATGAACCAGATAAGTATAAAACAAACTGCTAGAGAGAGACTGACAGTGGCAGCAGGTGATATCATAGACCATAAATTACCTGATAAGCCCATTTCACAGTAACAGAAAAATACATAAATAAATAAATAAATACATGTTGAACATTAAAAATAAACAATTTTATTTGTTGATAGCCTTTTTTCTTGAACGTACTTTGGTGTAGTATATAATGATGATAATGAATTAAAAATTTTGAGCAATTAAAAACTTAGGACAGAAAACAAAGAAGCAATATTTTAGATTTTCATTGTTTATAGGTCACTAATAAAATGCAGTGGGGAAAAACATGTAAGGTCTTGAGACAGATTTTATTAAAAGTTAAACTTGTAACTTAAGCTTTCCAAAATATGTGAAATTCATGAACAAGACACTACAAAAATTGCCAGACCACAGCGCAATCTGTGTATGGCATGTTTACATAGAAAAACAATGGAAAATAAGTGCAGTGGAAGGCAAAAAAAAGCGTTCCGTGTGAATGAGCTTTTAAAATAACAAAAGTAGGCAAAACCTCACATTTTCATGAGAATTTTCAAAAGACTGGCTGAACCATTTGTCTCGCCATCATGTTGATTGCACTTCAGAAAATTGATCAAGTCTCAATAGAAATAGTGTTCTTCTACATTAAGCTCACGTGGCTAACAAACTGCGCTGAGCTAATATCAGGCTAGATTAATGCAGGGATTTTCCATATCCCAAGTCCCCCTATCACAGAGGAACAGTCATGCGAGAAACTACCACCTATTGATCACAGTTTCTCATTGAATCCCATTTACTGGGATACGTGATGTTCACCCCGAGCTTCCACATGTATTTCTTATTTTTCTATTCACCCTCCCAGTGGATGCCCATCTGCCGATCTTTAATTTCTTTCCTACCAGTGGCCCAAATCGATTGTTTCCCTCTGCTTGACTTGATCCATATATTGTTGGAGTGTGCTTTTAAATGCCCAGCTTGTAAAGTGTCTAATCCACTACAAACAGATTTGTTTATGTCAGCAAGAAGCTTTTGCCCCATCCCTGTCTTTCCACCAGCCCTCATGTTCATCCATTTACATGCCTATCAGTTAAACTCATTGTCAAATTCAGCCCTCCAATCTGTCTCGCCTAAAACTATAGATCCACCAGGCCTTTGTTTATTGTGCCTAGCACCTTCTGTTGGTCACTGGGACACATAATCATCTATGATCATTTGGGCTTTACCCCACTCTCCACTTTGACCCTATAGTACCTGCTTAAAATGTGTGAAGAGACGTCACATGGCGAAGGACCAAAAAGTTGTGATAATAGCCTGAAAACCTTCAGACGGGTTTTAGAGGTTAGTGCTGTAAGTTAAAAGCATTGAAACGAGTCATCACCATGATCCTTTGGGTAAAGGTCACCACTGGCTCTGGATAAAGCTGCCTCAGCTGGTCATTATCTGCTGTTAAAATTTTACAGATGGCTTAGTCCCTGTGGAAGCGCTGACCTACAAATCTTGCATAGGCTGTGGAGGAAAATACAGTAAAGGTGTGAATTATAGTGGTTCAAAAAGCAGGAATTCGACTTCATACGTTTGCATTAAATTGCGTAGGAAATGTAACCTTGTTTTCCTCAAGTCTTACATGGCGGTGTTTCATTTATCTTATGGTGTAGTCAAAGAATTAATATTTGAAAAGCCTCAAAAAGTTATAATAATAAATAAATATACAAATAAATAAAAACTGTTAACAAAATAACAGATTAACAGATACTGTATTCAGCAACCAGAAATTGGGAATTAGATTAACCATAATTCCATTTGCCCCATTATCTCATCTTTCACTGAGCTGCGCCATGCAGGCAACCCAACTCATTCAGTGGTAAAAGCTGTGACTGTGTTGCATAAAAAAGGAACAGTTATCAAAAAGTCATGGGCTTCTAAATCCAAAAGCACCCCTAAGTACATTCATTCCATGGAGAATAGAGATGGAATTAGTGTGTGTTTGCTCTGTAGATCTTAACAATTCCTTCAGGGGAAATAAAGTTTTTTTTGGCCTCATATTAGTCGGTTGTTTGGCCTGTTGTAAATAACACTGAGATGTCTGCTGAAATTCATTTGAGAGAGTCACATAGAACATAGCGCATTGTCAGTTTTATTTCAAAGATAAGACAAAACTCAAGTAAGTTTCAAGTTGCTAAGATTTGGTTGGGGTTGGAGAGGCAAAACAGTCATCCAGCTGTTTTATAACAATGAAAAAATGGATCAAACAAAAAAAAAGAAAAAGAAAAATTATTTAATTTTTATAACTTATTTTATAACAACCATAACTTAACAGTTGCTTATTGGCTTACCCACTATTTTTGTAATATCTCAATGACTTCTATAAAGATACCTTGAACTCACTTGGAAAAGGCACAACGTGAATAAAACTACTTTTTCTTAATAACACCAAATGTGTGGCTTCACTGCCTTACATCTAAGAGAAACAAGGTTTTCAGAGAAAGTAATCAGATTTCTCACAGTGGGAATCACAGTCGGTGTGCGAATGCATGCAGAATGTTTGACTCGGCGCCGCATTGTGATTTTATGTTTGAAGCTCCCACACCATGACAGAAATGGATCTTGGATTTTTCCCATTTTCTTTTTCTCCCCACTTGACTCGCTTGCATTTTCACCCACACATCAAAGTGTTTCCTGCATGTCTTAGACACCATACTGTGATCTCCTCATATGAACCAACATTTTTCAAACTGTGATCATGAATACCAAAAGGCAGTTCACTCTGCTATTGTCACCTTATCCTTCAGTTTGGACTTTGTTTTCCTTTTGCACCA